CCAGCTACTTGGGAGGTGGAGGCAGGAGAATCGCTTGAGCCCAGGAGTTGGAGGTTGCTGTGAGCTGTGATGCCACGGTGGTTCTCTACCCAGGGCGACAGCTTGAGGCTCTGTCTCAAAAAAAAAAAAAAAAAGAATGATTGAAGTGCTAGATTTTATGTTATGTGTATTTTATCACAGTGAAAATAGAATTCCCCATATAAACAACAAACAATAACCAATACAATAGAAAAATATATCACCTTTATGTAACAATGAAATCCAAAAAGTATCTAGAAATCAAGCTAACGATGCAGAAAACTTCACAAGGAACAACCCCCGCATGATATATCTGTTGGTGCTCCTAGAATAGTCTGCAAATCCAATTAAATACTAATAAAAAGTCCAGGAAGTCCAGGCTGGGTGTGGTGGCTCACGCCCATAATCCTAGCACTTTGGGAGGCCAACGCAGATGGACTGCCTGAGCTCACAGAGCTCATGGAGCTCACAGGTTCAAGACCAGTCTGAGCCAGAATGAGACCCCCCATCTCTAAAAAATGTAGCAGGGCATTATGGTGGCACCTGCAGTCCCAGCTACTTGAGAGGCTGAGGCAAGAGAATTACTTGAGTCTAAGAGTTTGAGGTTGTTGTGAGCTATGATGCCACAGCACTCCACCAAGGGCAACAAAGTGAAACTCTATCTCAATACTAAATGAATAAATAAAAATAAAAATTCTAGGAGGATTTTGTTCAGGACCTGGACAAATTTATTCAAAAATATAAAACATTTGGCTCAGTGCCTGTAGCTCAGCAGCTACATACACCAGAGCTGGCAGGTTTGAATCTAGCCTGGGCCTGCCAAACAACAATGACAACTACAACAACAACAACAACAAAATAGCCAGCATTGTGGCGGGTGCTTGTAATCCCAGCTACTTGGGACGCTGAGGCAAGAGAATCGCTTAAGTTTGAGGTGGCTGTGAGCTGTGATGCCATAGCACTCTACCCAGGGTGACAGCTTGAGACTCCGTCTCAAAAAAAAAAAAGAAAAAAAAATATATATATATATATTTATGATCCAAAAGAAAAGTCAAGCTACCAGATATTAAAACAAAGCCATTAGGCTCGGCACCTGTGGCTCAAGTGGCTAAGGCACCAGCCACATACACCTAAGGTGATGGGCTCGAATCCAGCCCGGGCCTGCCAAACAACAATGACGGCTGCAACCAAAAAAAAAAAAAATAGCCAGGCATTGTGGCAGGTGGCTGTGGTCCCAGCTACTTGGGAGGTGGAGGCAGGAGACTAGCTTGAGCCCAAGAGTTTGAGGTCGCTGTGAGATGTGATGCCACAGCCCTCTACCCAGGCAGACAGCTTGAGGCTCTGCCTCAAAAAAAAAGAAAAAACAAAAACAAAGCCATTGTAGCTAAGTTAGGATCAGACTAAACACTTTAAGACTGATGTCCCATGCGCATGTGGGGCCTTCATGCATGAGAAAGAAGAAAATCACCAAGGAATGGAGAAAGACTCCCAAGGACCCCAAAACAGAAATTACAGTGCAAAGTGTTGGTAAATCTGACATCATCAGAATGAAGAATTCCTAATTAACAGACAAACTGGCAGTAAACAGGTGGTGTCAAACAGGGAGAAGAATTTCCAACACCTAAATTGCTAGTGGCCAGTGAGTAAGAAGAATATACAAAGAACTACAACTCGGCAGCGCTCATAGCTGAGTGGATAGGGCACCAGCCACATACACCAAGGCTGGTGGGTTCAATCACGGCCCAGGCCAGCTAAAATAATGACAACTGCAATAAAAAAAATAGCCAAGTGTTGTGGAGGGCACTTGTAGACCCAGCTCCTTGAGAGACTGAGGCCAGTGAATTGCTTAAGCCTAAGAGTTTGAGGTTACTGTGAGTTGTGATGCCACGGCACTCTACCCAGGGCAATAGCTTGAGACTCTATCTCAAAAAAAAAAAAAAAAAGAAAGAAAGAAAAAGAACTCCAAATCAACAAGAAAAAGAGCAAACCCAAGAGAAAGGGGCCAAGAGGACAAGCCAACAATCCCCAGAGGACTAGTGGGTTTAAAAAGAGGAGTTTGACCTTTGCACTACCTTAGAAATTCAAATTAAAACAAGGAGATTTAGGCCAGGCACAATAGTTCATGCCTGTAATCCCAGCACTTTG